CAGAACTAATGCTCCTCGCGACAGCCCCTCCTTGGCCGATTCCTCTGAGGAAGGATCTACTGACTCAGAGACGGGGCACCCCTTGGCACCCGCGTCCAGACCTCTGGAAACTTCATGTGTGGTCCCTGGACGGGACGCGGAGGTTCTAAGTGACCTACCCCAAGAGGTAGTGACACCATCACTTTAGCGAGAGCACCATCTATGAGACACGCTTACGCTTTGAAGTTGAACCTGTTCATTGAGTGGTGTTCTTCTCACTGAGAAGACCCCCGAAGATGCCTGATCAGAGTCGTGCTGTCCTTTTTTGCAGCAAGGGTTGGAGCGAAGGCTGTCTCCCTCCACCCTCAAAGTCTTTGTCGCTGCAATCGCTGCTAACCACGACCCTGTAGAAGGGAAGTCGCTGGGGAAACATGACCTGCACGCATTTTCGATCGACGATTCGTGCCTAGAGTTATGTGCCCAAGGTTCCCGCTACTCCCTTCAGGGATCAGGTAGTGAGCCTGCAAGCGCTGCCCTCGGAGGAGGCAGACCCAGCCCTAGCTTTGCTCTGTCCCATCCGAGCCTTAAGGTGCTACGTAGATGCTACATTTGTTGCATCCAGTGGGGACATAATTACGGATTATAATGACTTGTGCTGTCTTTTTACGCGTTGCGTTGCATCGTGCCGTGTAAACATAAAATCATGTCTGCATTTGTGATCGGAGAAATGACAAAAAACAAGCACTACGCTACACTGCTCAAAACTTGCGTTTGAATCATCAGTGGCAAATCTTTTAAATATGAAAACGTACTTACAGTCTGTGAGTCAGAACAGCCGGCATTGTAGTCTACTCTACCAGGATCAGGAAACAGTCCTCCATAAAATGCGCTGCACACATCTGAATATTTGGGTTTAACTGTTCTGGAACAGTGTTATAAATACAACTTAACCACTGATTTCTAGTTGTTTCCACTTTTGAAAGGCCAAACAAAGTAGTTTTTTTTGCTTTCACAATGAAAAACACACAGCGTCACACACGGCGGGCTTGAGTGAGCGGAGGCCGGCGGGCTTGAGCGAGGAACGGCCAACGGGTTTGAGGCAACCACATGTGACGACCCCGGACTGGACTCCGCTTTGTTCACGGTGAAAGCCGATCCGGCGATCCACAGCGCAAAGTTGATTTATTTCCTCAGCGACCAGCACGGATCAGCTCTAGGCATGACGAAGCGGATATCATCCTCTTTTGGAAGGCCAAACAAAGTAGTTTCGCTTTCACAACTAAACACACAGCGTCTTCACGACATGGCGGCAGCGGCAACAATAATACTACAGCGAGAATCAAAGTTATGCCTTCTTTCTTTGCGTGAACATTTGGGCGTGTTAGAATGAGCCATTTTAGGTAGGCGTGGTTGACTCTTAACTTTTAGAAAGAATATCTCTTTGGATTTGAAACTTTAGTCTTTGCAACTTTACAGATCTTCTTTATGCACCAAGAGCTTATAACACTCCAAAGAGAAAGGAAAAATTGAAATCCCATCATATGACCCCTTTAAATTTCGACAAGCTAAAAGAGAAAGCGAACTGTACAAGCTGACAATGTATGCTAATACCCACCATAACAGCCCTTGTGGCAGTGCTGAGAATGTGGCGTACTATTGTTTCATTATGATTTTTATTTGGACACATTTAGAATGGCAGCAATGCATAAAATCAAACTTACATAGCTAGAAACATGTGTCCAAGCATTTGTTGTCTTTATCAGCTGTAGGCACATTTGTAACTTTATGTGTTTCTGCAATGATCCCAGGCACCCAGCGAATACGAAGCCAACCCTGAGCTGCTGATATACAGAATCACCCACCTTACCCGGGGTAAGCAGTATCTGATATGGGCAGCCGCCGTTACCACTGCTGGTCGAGGAAACATCAGCGAGAAGGTGACTGTGGAGCCTGCTGGGAAAGGTGAGTCTACCTAGAGTTTAATGGGATAATAAGTATTATTCATAGCTAAATGCCCCTTTTCATGAATGCTGGTGTCATATATCGGCAATCAGCTCTGTACATAAACATATGCACTAAAGAAGTCATATGATCTCAAAACAGGCAGTTTAACAGTTTCCATGTAGAAATTGATGTTTGAGGTTTCCTGTCTGTAATTTAGCTTTATTTACTTAGCAATCATGTAGAAATTGTGCAATTGCCTGATAAGGCAGATGACCTGAGTGAGAACTGGGTGTTACAGGTCATTCTCTGCCACTGATGCTCTCTTCTCTTCCTTTACTTTGATTTTCTCCTGATGGATAGAGGTAAAGCCTGTCATTTATTATGTGGAGAGGAGTAAAAGCAACTAAATGAGAAAGAGATGGCAGACAATGACCCGGGCAATATGCCAGACAATGAAGGGGGCAGTTCAATCAATATTTATTGGGTCAGAAAACCAGGGAGAGAATCTATGAGTGTGTCCTTATTTAATAACTAATTCACAGCTAGTTTAAAGAGCAAGCATCTCTTGATAGCCGATGTAATTGTGAAAAAAAAAAAAACGTTGTTTGAATTCACTAAATGTTCATTATATAACATGTAGACTTTAAACTGTAGAAAATATACTTCACACAGAACGTGTTTTTGTATTTAAAAATGCATGGAGCAGTGCAGTGTAATGGGGAGGTGAAGAGTCAAAAAATGTTTTTTTTTTTTAAGTTTAACTTGAGTATCATGTTTTTAGAATGCAGTGTCATGCGTGAGACTCTGCAAAAGAGTTGAGCACAATGATCAAATATGTCTGTCTAATTTGGAGCTGATTGCTTTGTGGGCAGCGAGCCGACATATTGTGCCGTTGCGCTTCGGGCACCCCTACTTGCAGACATTTCTTGATACCGTCCCCCCCTCTCTCTCCCACTTTGCTTCCTGTCTATAGTCTGTCCTATTACAATAAAGGAAAAACTAAAAATAAATCTTAAAAATAAATAAATATACAAATAAGATTTCCATCTAATACATCAGTATATTAATATATGACTCTTGTTTGTGCTACTCAGCTCCTGCTAAAATCCTGTCTTTTGGAGGAACGGTGACCACTCCATGGATGAAGGAAGTCCGGCTGCCGTGCAGCTCAGTAGGAGAGCCAACACCCACCATCAAATGGACCAAAGACAGGTCTAGGATCAGCTTTCGTCACTTTCCTGAGAACACTGTTTTTCCAATGAGTCTTTGAAATATAGACACTTACAGGTTTAGATTTACAAACCCAAATACCTCCTTTTTACTCTTCTTAGACATTCACCTCTAATTTATTAAAAGATGAGAAGGTCAATATGTTTGATCCTCACAGTGAGGACACCACCATTCCAGTCACTCAAGATGGTCACCGGAATATTCTTTCAAATGGTACCCTGGTGCTGCGCTCTGTGAAAGCCGAGGATTCTGGGTACTACACCTGCACGGCCACCAACACACTGGGGTTTGACACAATCATCGTAAACCTGCTGGTGCAAGGTAAGAAATAGCATACTTCCACAATGTCCTGGGGCAACATGCCTATCAACCAGTCAGATTTTAAGGTTACATTTTAGGGTTAGGGTGCTGTCACATGAAACTTGGCTAAATTTGAAAGATTTTACATCTGTGTGGGGAAATATTTCGCTCTCAAGCTAAATTAATGATTCCACAGATTCCTATTGATGACTCTGTCAACCACAAAAATGTGCCAAACAATAAATGTGACCATATAAGCTGGGGACAGAGATAGGATTATGTCTTGTTCCAGGACAAGTAAACATTGATCCACAGAACACGTCCTACTAAAAGCATGGTGGCCAAAATGTGAAAAATTGACTGCTGGTGTTTGTCATTATAGTGCCTCCAGATCAACCACGTTTAACAGTTTCCACCACGTCCACGTCTTCAATCACTCTGGCTTGGATCCCTGGAGACAACGGAGGAAGTTCCATCAGAGGTACAAGAACCTGTCCTGTCTCTTTCCAGTCACCTCACACGTTTTATGTAGTGGGCTCCTCAAAGTACAGGTCTCTTTATCTCTCACCCTTTTTCATCTTCATTTATCTATCTTTAAGATTAGTTTTATTATGTTTTTTTCCTTCTTTTTACAATCTCTTTTTTTGTCTCTGTCTGTCTGTCTTCCTCTCAGACTGTGTTTAATCTGTCACTGTGTCAAATGTTCCTGTCAAACTGCTTGCGTCTCAGTAAATTAGGTAAAAAACAGAGATGTGGTGTTTGTGTGGAAAGATAGGAGGAGAATAAGGAGCACACAAGGCTGTCAGTGGGTAAATCCTTTTGATGTGGCACCCTTTATTTTGCCATCTGCCAAAGCCAAAGTGAGACACCAAATCCGGGCCGCTCCTAATGATGGGCAACGCCATATTGTGCATCTATTTGCATAACTGTGCAGTCAGCATTTCTCTCTCTCTGGGTTACTAATGGGGGTTTACAGCAATGTGATCAGCCCTTCTTCTGAGATTGTTACTCTGTGATTAGTCTGTAAGGTCAATGCGCCATCTAGTGGTGATGTTCGGAAATCTCTGTTCTGAGTTAATTCCAACTTCATGAGTTTGATTCCCAGGAATCGCATGAACTAGAAGTATAATATATAATGTAATAATAGTATATCGCATATGTGTGTGCATATTCAGGTTTTGTGCTGCAGTATTCAGTAGACAACACTGAGGAGTGGAAGGATGTCTTCATTAGCTCTAGTGAACGTTCTTTCAAGTTGGACAACCTGCGCTGTGGTACCTGGTACAAAGTCAAACTTGCTGCAAAAAACAGTGTGGGAGCTGGTCGCATCAGCGAGATCATTGAGGCCAAGACTCACGGCAGAGGTGAGCAGTTCTAGCTAATTCCCTATATTCTACACTTTTTGTAGCTCTTGTAAAATGTGTATGTGTGTGTGTTCATACTGGAAGATCCACTTTTATATACACTACCATTAAAACATTTGGGGGTCTGTAAATTTTTGTTTTTGAAAGACGTCTCTTATGCTCACCAAATAATTTATTTTAAAAAGTAATTGATGTAAATGTAATGTATTTCTCTGCTGGCAAAGCTGCATTTTCAGCAGCCATCACTCCAGTCTTCAGTGTAACATAATCCTTCAGAAATCATTCTAATAACTTATGATCAATTGAATGTGTCCTTGCTGAATAATTTCTTATAAATAAATAAACACATAAAAACATTTGAACAGTAGTGAATATCCCATTTAAGAAAAATGTATGTACAATTCTAAGATACATTTAAATCAGCTGGATATTGAATGTGACATTTAGACGTATGAGTGAAAAGTAGATCTTTATAGGTTATACGGTAATCTATTGCATCAATACATCACACATTAATGTATATTGTAAAATGTGGTCTTTTCTTGTTTTGCAGAGCCACAGTTCAATAAAGACCAGCCCCTTTTCACTCACATCAACTCCACCCATGCCCGACTTAACCTGCAGGGCTGGACGAGTGGCGGCTGCCCCATCACTGCTGTCCTGCTAGAGTTCCGCCCCAAAGGCACCTGGGCCTGGCAGAGTGTGCGCACCAACACCTCAGCTGACATATTCCTTGCCGAGTTGCGTGAGGCCACTTGGTATGAGCTAAAAATGAAGGCGTGCAACAGCGCTGGGTGTGGAAACCAGAGCTCCCAGTTTGCCACGCTGGATTATGATGGCAGTAAGTTTACAAACAGGAGAGTTTTATTTCCCAGTAATTCTGCCAACATTAGTACAGATGTACAAATATATTTCCTACAGAGCCAGGGCATGTATTACAGAATGACACAAAAGAACATGTACAATTAGCAGCTAAATCAATTAATTAAGCTGTTTTTAGGCCTGAATTTTAGAGATAAGAGACCTTGACGTGAGCTTTATCTCGATCTCTGTACTTATCTCGATTTCCTTTCCTCTGCAGGCACTATTCCGCCTATTAAGTCAGCACGAGGGGAAGGGGATGATGTTAAAAAGCTTTTCTCTATTGGCTGCCCTGTCATCCTGGTCACGTTGGGCATGGCCCTACTCTTCATTATTCGCAAGAAACGCAAAGAAAAAAGACTCAAGAGACTTAGAGGTGAGAGAGAAATAGGCAGAAAATGCAGAGAAAGTTGTTTGAATTGAATTATATATATATATATATATATATATATGAGTTCTGGCATGGAACTCTAGATGACACAGTCCGATAGGTCTAACTCAATCTGACCTAATTACATCATCACATGGCACAGCTGATTGGTTCTCTCCTGTATCGGTAGCCAATGAGCTCGCTGCTCAACATTCAAATATATGACTAGTGCTTGCCGTAGCAGTTGTAGCTTGCTTCAGAAACCCTCCACCTTCCCCAGCTCCACCTGTATAGATCTGCTACGAGGTGATTAATGTACGCTATATGGGTTATTTCATGTGTGTTATATTTGCAGCAGCAATATTTCTTACATGCTCACAGCAGCATGCTGTGGATGTATTGGCAGTAGCAAGTCTCGGTACTTGCTCTGCCGCAGCAGCAGCAGCGTAGCAGATCCAAGACCAAATATATTAATATTGTCATGTACATTACCATGCCAATCCCTCCGAGAGTTGTCATGACATAAATATAGTTATTATACATTTCTAGAATAATTTTACAGGAGTATTAAATACAATTACTCTGATTTCCATCTGTAGATGCTAAGAGCTTGGCTGAGATGCTTATCAGGTAAGGACATATTTAGAAGCCTGTGTACACATTAAACTCCAAAATTAAAACTCAAACATTAAAATTTGTGTTTAAAGAAGTGGCAGTGGCAATACTTTTTTCCCCCCTCTGTGTTTGTGTGCGTGTCTGTCTGTGGTTGTTTTGCACCTGGAGCAGTAAGAACAATCGAAGTTTTGACACTCCAGTGAAAGGCCCACCTCAGGGACCTCGACTGCACATAGATATCCCCCGCGTGCAACTACTCATCGAGGATAAAGAGGGAATCAAACAGATAGGTCAGTGTGTATGTGTTTGCATATATGCAAGTCATATGCTATTGCAATATATTAAAAAAATCTGAGACAGTGTTGAGTTGAGTACTGAAAGAAAACGTTGATAAAAAAGTAAAGTAAAACTGAAGGTATAAAATATTTTTGTTTCCTCAAGGCTTGTGTTTTTTTCTCTGTTGTGCGCTATAGGTGAAGACAAGGCCACCATCCCTGTGACGGACACGGAGTTCAGTCAATCAGTGAACCCTCAAAGCTTCTGTACGGGCGTGTCTGTGCATCACCCTGCCCTCATCCAGAACACAGGCCCATTGATTGACATGTCAGACATCAGGCCGGGCACCAGTATGTCACAACTCACCCACTCATTCCATAACAGATGGAAGAAGGTATAATTAGTGAATGTTTTATACACTCTCTGATTTTACCTTTCTCAGATCCAGTATCGAGGAAGAGTGTGAAGTCTGCGCACAGCACGAGGAACCGCTATTCCAGCCAGTGGACTCTGACTAAATGCCAGGCGTCCACACCTGCTCGCACTCTCACCTCAGACTGGCGGACAGTGGGCTCCCAGCATGGCATTACGGTCACAGAGAGTGACAGCTACAGCGCCAGTCTGTCCCAGGACACAGGTTCATACACTTACACATTTCAAATTTTAAGAATATTTATTGTCCTATTAGCCAGACTTGGTCTTATTCTGCCCACTTTGACAGAAGGGGTCTGTTTCACCAGCATATGAAGTTTTACAGAGTGTACACACTCATTCTGTCCTCTCCTGTCCTCAGATAAGGGACGAAACAGTATGGTCTCCACAGAGAGTGCGTCTTCCACATACGAGGAGCTGGCCCGAGCGTATGAACATGCTAAGCTGGAGGAGCACCTGCAGCACGCCAAGTTTGAGATCACCGAGTGCTTCATCTCTGACAGCTCCTCTGATCAGATGACCACCGGCACCAATGATAACGCGGATAGCATGACCTCTATGAGCACACCATCCGAACCGGGCATCTGTCGCTTCACTGCCTCCCCGCCCAAACCGCAGGACTATGATCGCGGCAAAAACGTGGCAGTGCCCATTCCCCACCGCGCCAACAAGAGTGAGTAAACAACACATTTAGGTGATTTTAAGGGGGTAATCATAAGCATTTTTTAGCTATGAAGCAGTGATGCAAGTTCAAGTACAGCTTGTGTCATTTCTAGAAAACTTTCAAGCATGTAGTGCTGCAACCCTATTGTAATTGTAAGGCTTTTTATTATCATTCTGCCATAAAACTGATTGTGCAGACCAAACCATAAGGCACAGAGACTTGAAACTTGGCCAGATGGTAGAGCTCAATTTGTGGAGAGACTAGCAAAGACTCCAGAGACCTCAATCGGCCACAGTGAAATTACAAAACGGCTCATAATCCTAAAATCCATAACTCAAGTGTCTCAAAACAAACAAAACAGCTACCTCCGATTTCCTGTATGCAAATGTTTCCACCATTTTGAATTTTGTCCAAAACATACCTTTGAGGACTAGTCCTAGGTTTTTCGCCTGATCAAAACCAAACCAGTGTTGAAATATTCTCTGGAGAGCGAATAGCAATAATTATCAAAAAAAAAGTTTGAATTGTGACTTCCCGTCAGGACAGGACACCAAAATGTTAGAAAGGGTCAGAGCCACTTTAACTAAAATGCTTATAACTCTTGAACAGAAGTAGTGCTGCAACCCTATTGTAATTGTAAGGCTTTTTATTATCATTCTGCCATAAAACTGATTGTGCAGACCAAACCATAAGGCACAGAGACTTGAAACTTGGCCAGATGGTAGAGCTCAATTTGTGGAGAGACTAGCAAAGACTCCAGAGACCTCAATCGGCCACAGTGAAATTACAAAACGGCTCATAATCCTAAAATCCATAACTCAAGTGTCTCAAAACAAACAAAACAGCTACCTCCGATTTCCTGTATGCAAATGTTTCCACCATTTTGAATTTTGTCCAAAACATACCTTTGAAGACTAGTCCTAGGTTTTTCGCCTGATCAAAACCAAACCAGTGTTGAAATATTCTCTGGAGAGCGAATAGCAATAATTATCAAAAAAAAAGTTAGAATTGTGACTTCCCGTCAGGACAGGACACCAAAATGTTAGAAAGGGTCAGAGCCACTTTAACTAAAATGCTTATAACTCTTGAACAGAATAAGATTATCTTCACCAAATTCAGAACAATTATGTAATAGCTCAGTCTGAAGTAACAAACAAATTTTAGCCACTTGGTGTCGCTGTACTAGTCAAAAAACTGAAAACAATATGACTATAGAGGACATTCACATATCTAAAAAAACATGGCAGCCATTGGTCAATAAATTTGTGCACCTATTAGACAAGGTTAAAAGAGGCCGATCGAAATTGGTGGGCCTGTTTGACTCATGGCCCTAAACAGGGTCTGTGAGAAATTTGAAAGAAATCGGCCACTGGGGGGCAATATGCATAAACGATTGTATATTGCGTGGTTTTTCCACACATACACACAATATTCATAATATATGATAGATCTCGTCATTCCAAACGATTTTGCCTCAAGAACCACTGCTGTCAGTCAAATTGTTTGTTAAATATGTGACAATATGTAAAACAAACAAAAAACACTGCAGTTCTCTGGACTCTCCAGGTCAATAATTATATATATATATATATTTTACTAAAATGCTTATAACTCTTGAACAGAATAAGATTATCTTCACCAAATTCAGAACAATTATGTAATAGCTCAGTCTGAAGTAACAAACAAATTTTAGCCACTTGGTGTCGCTGTACTAGTCAAAAAACTGAAAACAATATGACTATAGAGGACATTCACATATCTAAAAAAAACATGGCAGCCATTGGTCAATGAATTTGTGCACCTATTAGACAAGGTTAACAGAGGCCGATCGAAATTGGTGGGCCTGTTTGACTCGTGGCCCTAAACAGGGTCTGTGAGAAATTTGAAAGAAATCGGCCACTGGGGGGCAATATGCATAAACGATTGTATATTGCGTGGTTTTTCCACACATACACACAATATTCATAATATATGATAGATCTCCTCATTCCAAACGATTTTGCCTCAAGAACCACTGCTGTCAGTCAAATTGTTTGTGAAATATGTGACAATATGTAAAACAAACAAAAAACACTGCAGTTCTCTGGACTCTCCAGGTCAATAATTATATATATATATATTTAAAAAAAGTTGACCTTTACACTTTGGTTACATATAACAGGATATTTTGAAAAACAGCCATGGCCAAATATATCCAAAATCCTATAAATTGTAAACGAAAACTCAAAATTCACAAAACTAAAAAGTTTCATGGAGATAGTACCATAGGTTGCACTATAACAATTATAAAGGTTTCAAAAGCACAATAGTTCGATATTTGCAATTCCTGAAATTGCAAAAAAAAAAAATATATATATATATATATATATGCATTCACTTGAGATTCCTGCAGTACACTTTCAGAGTTTCTCTGAAAACTTCCACCTTCCCCAGCTCCACCTGTATTAATCTGCTACAGGTTATTGTATACGCTATTTGTGCAGCAGCAGTAGGGTTGGGAACCGAAAATCTATTCCGATTCCAGAATCGGATACTTAAAGGATTAGTTCACCCAAAAATGAAAATTAGGCTGCGTTTTACTCACCCCCGAGGCATCCTATGTGTATATGACTTTCTTCTTTCAGACGAATCCAGTCGGAGTTATATTAAAAATAGTATTTGATCTTTCAAGCTGTTTAATGCCACTCAGCTGCTGTTGCATTGCTTCAGTCCAAAAGAACTTGAATAAAAATCGCACATCCATAAAAAAAAATGTGTCTCACACTTCTCCGGGGGGTGAACAAAGGCCTTCTGTAGCAAATCGATGCATTTTTGTAAGAAAAATATCCATATTCAAAACATAATAATCACTTGAATCTAGCTTGCGCTCACTGTTGTAAACGGAAGCAGTTCTGGGGGAATGACGTATGAGGTTGGCTTTGCGCATGCGCCACTCAGAAGTGACACACGCGGAAACGCAGCGGAGAGATCAAAACAAAACAACGGTCGAGGATTTGTAAAGAAGAATGTCAGAGGATTTCGATATAAGCCAAGAGGAGACTGGTTTTCCTTTGCTAAAGTAAGGAAACTTTGCTTCCTTTGATCCTGTAAACAAACGTTAGTTTTCACGATACTCACTGGTGCATGCGCAACGCTGACCTCATACGTCATGCTCCCGGAATTGCTTCTGTGTACAACTGTTGGCGCAAGCTACATTAAAGTGATTATTATGTTTTGAATTAAAAAAAAGAAAAAAAAACAATTTAACCAGAATCATGCAGTTCTATTTTGCACACATACAGCTTTTAAAGAGTCCAGTTTTTATGTAGCCTGTTGATTTTTGTTCATGGTATTCAGCTCCAATGAATGATTTGCAAAAACGAGACACAGGATAAATGTTTGATATCATTATTTAATCACATTGAAATCGAAACTGGGAATTGAAAAGAATCGGAATCGATAAACAGAATCGGAATCGGAATTAATAAAATTCAAACGATACCCAGCACTAATCAGCAGTATACGTCTTAAATACTCACGGCACCGTATCGCCATATGCATTGGCAGTAGAAAGTTCCTGTACTTGCTTGCAGCAGCAGCAATAATCTACAACTACAGCAATAACCAACAGCAGCAGCGTAGCAGATCTATTCCGTCAAGACCAAATACATTAACATTGTCATATCCATCACCATGCTAAAATCTTCCGAGAGTTGTCATGATTGAAGCATATTACACAATATTTCACACATACACTTGATCTTCATATATGATAGATCTTCTCATTTGGAACAACTTTGCCTCTAGGACCGCTGCTGTCAACCAAATTGTTATTGTTAAATTATTTGAAATTGTTTAACAAACCTACTTTTGCAAATTAGTCCTATGTTTTTTGCTCAACAACAATAAAACCAGTGCAGTACAATTCTTTGAACTCTTAAGATCAATAATTATCAAAAAAAAAAAAAATTAACCTTTTTATTTGGACAGCTATAACAGGGTCATTTAAAAATGTTGTCTTGAACTAGTGTACCCAAAAACCTATAAATCATAAAAGAAAACTCAAAACTTCACAAAACTATGTGAAGTCATGCAGCATGTGATTTTAAATAAGCATGCACATTTTATAGAGATTGGGCAAAAAATGGCACCATAATAGTCATAAAGGTTAAAAAAAACAATGCATTTAAATGGTAAATTCCTTGAAATTGCGATTATAACCACTAGATGGCAGCAAATGATCATTCACTGGCTCATTCTATTCATTAATATAGTACTTCTCTGAGGTTTTAAATTTGTACGGACATATCAGTTTTTACAATTATGCCAGACTATGATTACAGTGAAATGTGAAAACTGTATATAAATTCTTAAAAAGAGAAGACTTGCAGTAAGCATTTTGTTACCTACAATTTATTTCAAATATCTATATCTGCAACAAAATGTGTGTGTGTTTGTTTGTGTGTGTGTGTGTATTCTCTATCATGGATGTGTTTTAGTGTCAGCCATACATTTTGGGATGGCCTAGTCTCCCATAGCATCCATGTCATAAGGCCGGTAAAGTGCTTGAACTCCCGTAATTGCTGCTTGCAGCAATATTTTTAAATGATATTTATTATATAAAATATTATAGATATTGATATTATATGATAAATATTTAATATCTGTATCATATTTTTTTATTATTCTGATAATCATAAGAGGTTACATTAAATAACTGAAACTATGCCATTTGCAAACCATTTTAAGTATGAATATAAATAAATAAAAGTATAAATAAATTATCAAGTATAAATAAAAAGATTATTTAAATATTTAAGTATTATAATTCATTATATTTTAATTAAATAAAAACATATCTTGCTGTGCATATGTATGATTTCAGTTAAAATTTATGATATTTCAATGGTTCGTTTAAAAAAGGTTTTGAAAAAAAAAAAAAAAATATATATATATATATATATATATATATATATATATATATATATATAATATTAATATGTTAATTTTTATATATTATAAAATATATATATTATGTTATAAATAATATTACGGTTTTGTATTTTTTATTATTACTTATAACAATACAACTTTTTGTGTTTGTATGTTTGTTTGTTTGTTTTGTTTTGTTTTTGTTTTTTGCATATGTCATTTTGAAATTTTGGTGTAGTGTACATTTTAAAAAATATGTCCAGAGGTTACGGCACAGACCTGTTTTTTTTTATGTTACAACAAAATCTCTGGTGTTAAAATTCCAAATAATTATTTTAAAAGTGGTATCTGTAGAAAAGACTCCAACAACAGAGGCTGTGATTTAACATAATTTTACTGACGCTTGCATCTGTCCTGCAGGTGAGTACTGTAACCTCCCCCTCTACATGAAGACAGACCCTTTCTTCCGGAAACAGGCGGAGCTGCACGACCCCTGCCCTGTGGTCCCACCCCGCGAGGCCTCCATCCGGAGCCTTGCCGCCCGGGCCTACCATACACAGGGCCGCCACATGACATTAGACCCCTCAAAGCAGCAGGCCCTGACACTGAGCCACGGCGGCCTGAGCAGCCTGACCAGCTCAGGGGCCTCTGGTACGTCGGGCCCAGCTTCAAGCGGGGCTGCTGGGAGCTCCAGCATCAGCTCAGGCACGGCCACCCTGCCCCAGAGAACTCTCACAATGCCCAGCACCTCCTCCACCTCCTTGGCCCCAAGCGGGGCAGTCGCCGCTGGAGCAGGAGCCAGCACGAGCTCCACGGGAGGCATCGGCCCGACGCCTGGCAGTTCCAAGGTTGGGGGATCCAGAGACTCTCTGCTAGAGAGCAGCTCGTCTGGCCTGGGCAGACTGCAAAAGCAGAATGCTGGGGCCTACTCCAAATCCTACACTCTGGTGTAGCGCACACACACACACACACGTATACGCATACAGTACGTTCACACACACATCTGGAGTCTGGGCAGGGGCGGAAATGAACAATGGCGGGACAGGGGTCTCTCTCTCTTTTCCTCTCGGTTACCTTTTTCTGCATTCCTTTTTTATTCTTCTGTTCAAGCTTTTTTTATCTGGCCTTCTCCAGGATTAAATATGCCAAATCCCAGGACCTTTCCCCAATTTTCCCTTTTTTTTGTCTTATGCTTTGTCCTTCTCTCTTGCTTTCTTCCCCACTCTCCTTTCACTTCTTTCTGTCAAAGACACCTTGGACCTTATGCACGAAATGCTTTCCAGGTGCACTTGTTCATTTGACTTCTCAACTTCAGAAAATAGGAAAAAAACGGTTTTAAGAGATGTATTGTTTCACATTAACCTGTCTAGATGTTTTTAGGCTCTCAAAAAAAGTGTCTCTTTTTATGTCTCTCATACTGCAACACATTGCCTCGGAAAGCTTATGCATAAACAAATCCACCACGGTGTCCACCTTCCGCCCCTCCTGATCCACAATGGTCTGGAAAAACAGCTCGAAGACGAAAGTCTCGACCGCCTGAATCGAGTCTTTGGGATTTTTTCATGCAATTGATGACACAGTATAGAGTGTTATTGACTATTTTGTAAACGAACAAGAAAAAAAAAAGTGAAAAAAAAATGTTTGGAGCCATTTTCACTGCGGATTTATGGTTACTGTACTTTTATTTTTTTGTTCCGTTTTCTATTTTTGGCATTTTGAACTTAAGCACTAAGGAGGGCTGGGTGGATCCACAGAGCTTTCTCAAGCTTGTGTACGTGTGGTGTGTGTGTGCATGTGTATGTATATGTGTAAATATACATGTATACATGTGGCCAGCACACACCTTTAAAGGACCTCTCAACCAGGCCTGCACACTTGGTCTCTTGGCATCACATTGGCTTGGAGACGCCAGATGCCGCCCACTGAGCTACAAGGTCTAGAGTCCATATGAAAAGGGGGGACAAGTTGGAGAGAGTATTCATTATCTCTCTACTCCCTTCGATATGAAAGAAAGGCTCTTTTTTGCTGTTTGTTAGTTCATTCGATTGTTTGTGATTGATTCTTATCACCCATCCTTCCCCACCCAGACCTCCCCCAAAAAGGTTACCACTTCCTCTGTCTCACTGTGAACGCCTAACAGCCTCTCCTGGATGGACCAAGCGCAGGCAGAAAGGCAGGAAGAGGGCAGAGAGGTAGCTAGGAAGTAGAGGCAGACGGGCCCGTGAACAGAGAAAGAGAGATATCTGCTGTCGCTGTGTAGCTTTTCTGTGTTTGTTCATCGTTTCTCTTTATTCTTTGCTTTCCTTCCCCACACGAAGACTCTAGCGGTCGTTCCTATTCGAAGGTCTTAGAGACTCTAGACTCTAGCGCAGGGGTGGATTAAGGAGGGAATAAGTGAAATATAGGAGGGGAAGGTTTCATTCAACCCCTAAATGGATCGAAATGCCTTTTAACCCTCCTTCGTTCACTCGGTTCCCAAAGCAAAGCCCCATCACAGAGAAACTTCCAAAAATCGACAAACTCTCCCAATGATTTCAATGGAAAAAAAAGTACTACATCAGGGCTCCTGCAATACAAAAGAAAAATATATTGCAATGTTTGTTGTCAAAATATATACATATATATTTCTATCTAAAGATATAGTAAATATATACGTGGTGAGAGCAGAGATTTAATGCCATATCTAATTGAAATAAAAAAATGTTATTTTAAAAAAGATTTGAAGACAATCGCTCAGTGGGAGGTGCAGCAGTAAGCGAGAGGAGATGTCGATCACGAAACGCTGAGATAAACGGGTAACATAACTTAGACAGATTGAAAAAGAACGGCAGAGGGTGTGTTTCGACATTCCGCGGTTGGGAATTCTGGGAAAAGACCTTTGAGGTTCCCAAACTAACTTCCTGTCATCGTTATAATCAGCCGGGCTGCATAGTGCAACACGCCTGTATGGTATGAAGGAGATATTTATGGACCGTTCCAAACACACTCTCTACAGTTGCTTGGAAACAATGGAAATTTGCCACTGCAACTCCAGCTCATAGATGGACATCTGTGAGCGCCATCTGAATCCATGCACCATCTCTACTGTAGTTTAAAATACCCACAGTACTTTGAGAGCTTTCTGTCAGGTCCTTAAAAAGACAGTTCACCCAAAAATAAAAAAATGTCATTATTTACTTACCCACATGTTGTTCCAAACCTGTATGACTTTATTTCTTCTGTGGAACACAAAAGGAGATGTTTTAATGTGTTTCGGCCATACAATGAAAGTAGGGGAGTCGCAATATACTGGTACTGCCGAATGATATTGTAATACTGGACATAATATTGGAAATAATACATTACCAGTACTATGTGGTTGACACTCCAACATCGTATGTGGTGGTATTGCACCTTAATACTGGTTTCCACACATCATAAAATAGTAATAGTAAATAGCAGGAGGTGTCGAACAACAACATTTTTATTTATTTGTTGTATTGTTTTGTACAGTTATGGTTACTGTCTCTGCGCCTTCCTACACTCATATTTTGAGTGTGATTCATTGGCAAAAAAAAAAAAAGAGGAAAAAATTAAATTAAAGATGAATTTGACTGATAACAATATTTATTATTCCCGAATATTTATATAGATAATGTAATCATTATTATAAACTATTTTGGCCACAATAATTGTGTAGTGAAATTCTGATATTTTGACAGGTTTAAATGAACAAAATTTGGACCCCATTGACTTTCATTTTATGGAACAATTGACGAATAGTGAATGATGACAGAATTTAAATTTTTGGGTGCATTACCCCTTTTAGGTGAGATCGCTCCTCTGATTTAAAAAATTCAAGCGTTCAGCATGTCTGATAGGTCATATCTTATATATCAGGGGAAAGATTGCTACCTTTATATATTGCCTATTTATTGCTGACTTAGAACACACAAACCCTGCAGACTTCAGCACAGGAAATAGCACACATTTATTGTTTGTTCAACAGGATTCAGTTTAATGCAGCCGCCTGAGCATATCTCATGTTAGGAAGACTTGACGCAACAAATCCTAAGGTACAGCGTAGAGACATGTCATGTTGGGTTTAAAATTGAGCTGATTTAACGATAGTATATCTGTTTGTGGCATATAAAAAAAAATCAGTTTGACTTACCAGGAGATGTTTTTTGTTTGTTTTTTTGGTGGCTTGATAAATTAGGATTGTGTTACGGTGTACCCAAAGTTGTGTAAGATAAATAAATTTGATCACCCAGATCTAAACTTGAGATAGAGTTGCGAGGAATGTGGACTTGTTTTAAAAACAGTGAAAGAAGTATGTGTTCCTCTTATTGCTGCTCAAATGCCCACTGACTGGGTTATTAAGTCTGTCTGATGGCAGACGTGCCCAGAGCATTTTGCCATGGACATGTTTCATTAGGATTAGACCGATATCTATATCAGTATTAATGCCTGTTCAGGTGAAACATCTTGTGAAAATATTCCCTTGACCACCCCAGAAAGTCCCCACGTCCAATGTTTTTCATATTTAAAAGACAGTCGCTGACTTTAATTTACTTTTTTTTTTTTTCTCAATTGCATTGTTTATAAAAATAGATGTATCCAACTTAGTTTATTTGTTTGGTTCTATGATGATTTATGTTGAAAAGAAAATGCAGTTGTGTTGCGCAACGGGGCAGGCCTGTTTAGCCAGTCAAATCAGGGACCCCCAAGCTCCAACCAATCACAGGAGAAGCTGTGTGGATACTGGGTGGAGTCAGGAATAGAACTCCATCCCCACACGCCTGTTTCCCCACCCGAATGATCCGATTAGCCCCTTTTCTTCAACCAATAAAAATTCCTGCTATACCCAAGACCTCCCTGTCAGCATAATTTCTAATCTACAAATAAAGACTCTTGTATATATGAAACTGTTTTGTATAAATAATTACTATTTTCGACATCTCCATTAGCAAGCAGGGCACAATTATAAGTCTGTTTAAAGGTATAACTTTAAATGTGAGGGGATTAAAAAGACAAAAAAGTATAAAATCTAACAAAAAATACCTTACACCTTGAGTTTTGAATGGGGCACATAAACCCAGACCAGACGTCTGGCATTTGATTTATTTTCTCCTTTTTATAATTTGTCTAATGTTTTTATTCATTTATGTTGTTGGTTGTTTTTTGTTTGTTTATACTTTTGTTTTCTTTCTACCTTTTGTTTAACTTGACGAAAAATGGCATCGCATGCTCTGAATATTTTGCTGGTTATTAAAAGAAAAAGGAGATAAATAACTAAAAGGGAAAAAAAAGTTTAAAAATGCAGAGGGGATTCCTAAACTTGTATGGAAAAGTTGCTTCAATTTGCAATTGCTTGTGTTTAAATATACAGATTTTTTTTCTATGAAAACAAAACAAAAACAGAAAAAGAGTACTCCAACAACTTGTGCAATAAAGCTATCTTTCTATGAATAGTGCCTTGTCCCTTGTGTGATTTTTTGTATGTAAATTATATATATATATATACAGTGGGTACGGAAAGTATTCAGACCCCCTTAAATGTTTCACTCTTTGTTATATTGCAGCCATTTGCTAAAATCATTTAAGTAAAAATGTTTTCCTCATTAATGTACACACAGCACCATATATATATATATATACAATTAGAAAACTAATACAACTGGAAAACAAGTATCTGTATAGCAATACTCCATAATTTATTCATTAAGGTGCACTCTGTAATTTTTGTTCATTAATTGTTCCTGAACTTACTGACATCAATATGATGGGAGCATCAATAATACAAAAAAGCAGTCGTTGTTTGGTTACCTTACCAGTGCCAATGACGACGTGCTCTAGTTATCCATCCATCCATCCATCTTCCAAACCACGTGTCCTGCTTACAGTCGCGGGGCCTATTAAAGTTTCTATTGATGGTCATCCATGCTTAATTTACTCAGCAAAGGTGTACAATGATGGAAGTTGTGGATATAAAATAAAGAGTATGGAAGTGTTCACTCGGAGGCCATATTAATGCCAATCAGCTATTGCTTCGCGGCCATATTCGAAACTCTCACCGTCAGCTGTTAGCAGTCATGCAAATTTGTTTACTTAAAGGGGTCATATGATGCGATTTCAATTTTTCCTTTCTCTTTGGAGTGTTACAAGCTCTTTGTGCATAAAGAAGATCTGTAAAGTTGCAAAGACTAAAGTCTCAAATCCAAAGAGATATTCTTTATAAAAGTTCAGAGTCAGCCACACCTACCTAAAACGGCCCCCACATACCTACCTCACTATGTGGGAAGATTTGCATAACGCCGCCCAAATGTTCACGCAAAGAAAGAAGGCGTAACTTTTAGTCTTGCTGTAGTTTTGTTGTTGCTACAGCCATGTACGCTGTGTGCTTCGTTGTGAAAGCGAAACTACTTTGTTTGGTCTTCCAAAAGAGGACGATATCCGCTTCGTCATGCCTAGAGCTGATCTGTGCTGGTCGCTGAGGGAATACATCAACTTTCACTGTGGACGAAGCGGAATCCAGCCCAGGGTCTGTCACATGGTTGCCGCTCATTCATCTGATCTCGACCCCGCCACCTCAGCTCACTCTATCCCAGCCTCAGCGCACGCCAAGCCGGGGCTTCCCCTCACACTAGGCCGCTGTGTTTTTCGTTGTGAAAGCGAAACTACTTTGTTTGGTCTTCCAAAAGAGGACACGACTACAAATCAGTGGTATTCACAACACTGTTCCAGAACAGTTTAACCCAAATATCCAGATGTGTGCAGCGCATTTTATGGAGGACTGTTTACTGATCCTGGGAGAGTAACGTTAGACTAAAATGCCGGCAGTTCTGACTCACGTAAGTACGTTTTCACTTAAAGGATTTGCCACTGATGATTCAAACACGAGTTTTGGGCAGTGTAGAGTAGCACTTGTTGTTTGTCATTTCTCTGATCACAAATGCAGACAATAAATAAATTCCAACAATAAATTCGGACAATAAAATAAATTGCCTCATCAGGTCAAATCACACGCAGTACAAAAACCTCCCAGAGATTTTGGCTAAAGTAAACAAACACGCGTTTGACTTTTTCAACAAAAGGGGTCCTAGTCATTTTTTTTTTTTTTTGAAGTGTTCAGTTGGTCAAGGAATTTAGGAATAAGTCATTTAAAAAGAACTAATTGTGTCTTTAATTAAATAATGTCTTTAATTTAGGTGTAATACCTTTTTATTTCTTTTTATAGTCTTTTAACTATACACTCATAACTTGTTTCTATTTATTTATTTATTTATTTGAATTCAGATATATAGCATTAGCTCCTGTTTCTATAATGTGTAGCAGAATTTGTCATTTTGATCCTTTCACTAGCTCACCAGCAGAGAGAAGAATGACATTAGACCTATGTCTTGGAGGGAAAACTTGGGTGTTTATTGAATGTGATTGTACTGTTGCCATGACAGTCTATAAAAATCACTGGTACATTATCAGTTGAAAAATTCACATTGCTCTCTGCAGGCTATGTAATTTTCACATTGCACTTTCTCACCACATACCCACATAGTATGTAACATATAAATGTTACACTGAGAGTATATTCATTGCTACACAATGTGGATTAACCTAAAAAAAAATTATCATAAAGATCTTCTGATCTGTGTGTTTGTTTGTCTGAAGTTTGTGGCATCCATTATCAGCAAATGCTCTGAAATGTTTGTCATTGTCTGAGCGTGTGTTTTCGTGCAGTTGTCAGCTAGCTGTAAATCAGAAGCATCACAGGTGTCGTCCTTTAACATTGATGAGACCAGGCTTGCATGGACAGTTGCTGAGCTTATAGGGCTCAGAAATTGACACTTCAAAAGCTTACAGTTTAGCCTGGTTGATCTTTCATTTGTGGTCTTTCTGCTTCTTTTGCTGATACTTCCTGTACTGGTTCTGAATTGTAGCCGCTGCCTTCTCGGCAGAGGTTCTGGTGTGACAATTACTGGAAGAAGAGTCTAAAAAACATGGAAAAGAATGGATAAAACGAGGACATTTTGAGAATTAGAGGATGCTTTAGAGAATATTTTGTGATTTTATATATGTGACAAGATATTTTAATGTTTTTGTTTTATTTAATTTTACAGTTTAGGTTTCAGAATACAATTTCAGAATTGTTCATACGTACTCTTTCTGTAAACTCCTATGCTGTTCCTTCTCTGGCCCTCAAACTGCAAAGCAATAAATAAATAA